CCTATGTAGGAGAACAGTCTCTATTCTGCTCTGTGTCAGTGTGTATCAGGGTCTCTGAGGACAGGTGTCAATCCATATCTGCCAAGTGACCTTATGTAGGAGAACAGTCTCTATTCTGCTCTGTGTCAGTGTGAATCATGGTCTCTGAGGACAGGTGTCAATCCATACCTGCCAAGTGACCCTATGTAGGGGGAACAGTCTCTATTCTGCTCTGTGTCAGTGTGTATCATGGTCTCTGAGGACAGGTGTCAACCCATATCTGCCAAGTGACCCTATGTAGGAGGAACAGTCTCTATTCTGCTCTGTGTCAGTGTGTATCAGGGGCTCTGAGGACAGGTGTCAATCCATATCTGCCAAGTGACCCTATGTAGGGGGAACAGTCTCTATTCTGCTCTGTGTCAGTGTGTATCAGGGGCTCTGAGGACAGGTGTCAATACATATCTGCCAAGTGAACCTATGTAGGGGGAACAGTCTCTATTCTGCTCTGTGTCAGTGTGTATCATGGTCCCTGAGGAAAGGTGTCAATCCATATCTGCCAAGTGACCCTATGTAGGAGGAACAGTCTCTATTCTGCTCTGTGTCAGTGTGTATCATGATCTCTGAGGACAGGTGTCAATAGATATCTGCCAAGTGACCCTATGTAGGAGAACAGTCTCTATTCTGCTCTGTGTCAGTGTGTATCATGGTCTCTGAGGACAGGTGTCAATCCATATCTGCCAAGTGACCCTATGTAGTTGGAACAGTCTCTATTCTGCTCTGTGTCAGTGTGTATCAGGGGCTCTGAGGACAGGTGTCAATCCATATCTGCCAAGTGAACCTATGTAGGAGAACAGTCTCTATTCTGCTCTGTGTCAGTGTGTATCATGGTCTCTGAGGACAGGTGTAATGGTATTTATTAATTAATGACTTTACATCATAAAGAAAGCATATTTAGTGTAATGCTTTGGGGGCACCACTAGGGGGAGTGTGTAGGAAGACATGTGCTTCTGGCAGTGACATCACAGGCCAGCCTACTTACACTGAATAAAACCAGATGGAGGAGAAAACTCTCTCTCTTTGCCTGTACCTGAAAGATGTAGTAGCAGCTCTGACTTAACCCCAGCCAAAGGGCTGGGGCCTTGTAAGTAAAATGTTGTGTAACATGTAGCAACCTTTTGTAAGTATTATGTTGTAGTTTTGTATTGTATCATAATTGTAGTAAATTGACATTCTGCTAGCATCTGTTTATTTATTATAGTTATATTAAATATACATTTAATATTACAACGTTTTGTGTATTTTCTATCCACATATTCGACCATAATACCATGAATTATAAAAATATTAATGTTGTTCCGTATTGCTTAATTATTATGTATTAAGAGATTAATATTCATATTTAGGTCACACCACAACATTTGGCGTAGTCGGCAGGATTATGCTTGAATATTGGGGAAAATATAAATGTTATGCATTTTGCTTAAATCATACTGTAAATTGTCTGTCTGTACACAAATGAATAAATGAATGATGATTTGGTTTTAATGGAATGAATGCAGATAGCAGATAGGGAGTGATGAATTATTGTGTTGCTTGTTACGTTTTACCAACCTTTGGTCATTTTTATATATAAAACAAAAAACAATTTTACTTTTTGTCTGACCATGTGGATTTTAATCCACCATTGACCACATGGTGTGAATGAGTTGAGGCCTAGTTTCATTGTTTGCTACCATTTGCATAGGAAAAGACTTTTCACTAAACTAGTTCACCAGGGTTTATTGCTAAATTTGACCCTGTTTGTGTACCAATTTACATTTGTTTGGCATTCATGGATTTGTCTAGTTGAAAAGAGATTTGGACAAATGTATTAAATTAGTAGTTAAGAAAAAGATACGTTTAGTAAAGCAGATTCAGTGAATAATAGATTTATGTGTGCGTATACACAGAATATTAGTATAAATATATATGAGACCACCTTTAACAGCTGTGTGACCATGCTTTTCAGCTACAGCTGGGGGAGAATTTGTCCTTGTTGGGGGTGGGTAGTCTTGCCTGTATGAGAAAAAATAAACTGCATTGTTTTGTAAATGTAATTGCCTAAACTAATCAATTTGTGGAGTGTTTTTCAGCTTTATTATCCAGGACTAAGGAATTACTGGACATATGCAGGAACTGGTAACAAATGAACTGAAAAATGGTAAAATAATTCCTTTGTCCTATTTAGTCTGAATATTTTAACAAGTTAGCATTTTTAACAAAGTAAGTGTATAGGCTCAGATTAAGATTTATATTATTTTAGAAGCCATCTATAACTGATTTTAATATTTCCATGCTTTGAATTAGGGTGTATCTGCCTAGCGGGTGAACCTCCATAACGTGGGCTGTGATTTTAGTTACAGTAGCGTGTGGGGAACCTGAGCTAGGGGGTATTTAAACGTGTCCGGATAAGGGGGAGCATACCCAATAGTTGTTGTGCAGTTCTATCCTGTATTATTATTATTTGAAACCCTGTATTACTTATAAGTAGCGTTTTGTAACTTATTTGTAATTGTTTATATATATATTGCTCTGGGAAAGGGATAGGCAAAATCTCTGAGAGACCAGGAAATATATTTTAAAAAAAGGGCGTATTACACTAGTGGTAGGGTGGCCTATCATGACCTTAGAGACCCTTGGTGACTAGTTTTTGTTGTATATTGCCCTGGGAAGGGGATACGCTATTTAATAGAAATTCCTGAGAGACCAGGAAATATACAATAAGTGATACGTGAGTGTACTGGTTAAATTGCAGACATATTGGCCCAGAACCTTTAATCGAGCCGGAAAAGAGGCTGCTGTATGTTTGCTCCTCTATAATTTTGCGGGGGCGGTCACCCCCATGCGGAAAGCCACTGCCATCACAGGGTGGTTAGTTGTGCAGGCCCTTAGCCGCGAGGTGCAAGCATGTCCGTGGAAAGGCTAGAAATTAATAGGGAGTCACTCATAGCTGTCAGAAGTGTTGAACTTTGAGACATATTGACCTATATCCTTTCAGAGGCGGAAGAGGTGTTGTGGTTCACTCCTCTATAATTTAACCAAAGGGTGGAGAGTTATTAAACATGTTTAGGTTGGCTAGAAATGTGTTTCCTGAATTGCAGAGAAGATGCAGAAAGCAGCTATTAGCTGATTGTTTATTTTAAGAGCCAAGTAGAAAATTAAGAAAGTTACCTTGTTGAACAAATTGTTTATAAAATGAAAAGTTTAGGGAATGTATTTATATGTGTATATATGTATATATGCTAAGTAAAGGATTTGGCAGTATACGCTATAAGTGACAAGGAAAAGTAATCCTGATCTGTTTTCTTACCTTTTTCAGATATAGCAGAAACCAGGGGTGGACATTGGAACACAGATAGAATATCAGATGGAGACCAGTGTTTAAATGTTGACCTTTGATGAGCTATTGAATGTTTTATTTTATTGTCTATTTAACATGTCTATGCTATGATTTTGTGCATACTGTTCTCTTATTTCTAGTGATTGTATTGCAATTGAAACCCTTATGTATTATTATTGTTGTATGTATGTATGCTTGCCTGGGAAAGGGGGGAATTGACCCATAGGGACCAGGGGGTATTTTTGTGTAAACCAAACTGGGGTGGGAGGGCTCTAACGAGGGAACCCCATTGTCCAGTAGGTGTTTGATTTGTGTCTGTGTAAAGTGCATGAGTGGTTGCAGTTCAAAAAACAAAAAAATAAGAGGGATAAGAGAAAGTAGGCATTTTGGGTTATCTATACATGTTTAAATAGAAGGGTGGTAAATAGGAATGTAATTGTTTTGGTTAATGTTTAGATTAAATTGGTTAAATACAGCAGTGATAACGAGTGTTTAGATTAAATTGGTTAAATACAGCAGTAATAACGAGTGTTTGGGTTAAATTGGTAGATACAGCAGTGATATTGTGTTTATCTGTGAATCAGGAGTGTGCTGGATGTGAAGAGAGGTGTGTAGGTATTTATCCAAACGCCATAGGAAAAAATATGGTTAAGACACCACAATCAAATGGTACTTGTGATGATTGGCACAGTTATTATTTATGTTTGTGTTCGTCATTGCCTGTGTTTTCATTCAAGAACTTTCAAGCAAGGATATTTCAAGCAGAAGAAGAAGCAGCACTGGACACTATGCTCAACTGTTGCTGTAAGGAGAAAAAATATTGCAGCTAAGAGTGGTGAGAGTCGGAACAAATGCATCAGGAGCAGGACACTGTTACGTCAAGGTGGTTAATGGTATAAAGAAAGAAAAAACAAAACAATGTGACCACAAACACACAAAAGTCCTTGATCACATGAACTGTTTCATTCATCCCTGTCTCCATGCGTATGTTCTATGAGACTGTCGAAGAATAGAGTATCCAGTTTCCAGGACTAATGTTTGTGAAAATTCCAGGCACACAGACCAGCCAGAGGCTACAGAAATCGAGTCGGTCTGTGCCATGATTCATAGGTGTTATGAGTTTGTGGTGTCTAATACTATATTAAGCTCCAAAACACATCCTCACATGAACACAATATCATTGGTTAATCTAATAAAACATGGTTTGAGTTGTTCATTATTATAAGGGTGGGTATGTGCCTATTTCCCAACTGGTAATGCATGTGCTCAATGGTGAACATTTATATAAGCAATAAAATGTTAATGGGTAATAATTAATGGGTAAATGGGTATCGTTTTTCAAAAGGTGGGTTTTGTTGTAGGGCAGGTAGTGTTAAAATGGGGAAGATTCACAATTTACTGGTTTTATAAATGCTTGTTTTATGACATAAGTCAAAGGGTGGTTTGTAATGGTATTTATTAATTAATGACTTTACATCATAAAGAAAGCATATTTAGTGTAATGCTTTGGGGGCACCACTAGGGAGTGTGTGTAGGAAGACATGTGCTTCTGGCAGTGACATCACAGGCCAGCCTACTTACACTGAATAAAACCAGATGGAGGAGAAAACTCTGTCTCTTTGCCTCTTTGCCTGTACCTGAAAGATGTAGTAGCAGCTCTGACTTAACCCCAGCCAAAGGGCTGGGGCCTTGTAAGTAAAATGTTGTGTAACATGTAGCAACCTTTTGTAAGTAATATGTTGTAGTTTTGTATTGTATCATAATTGTAGTAAATTGACATTCTGCTAGCATCTGTTTATTTGTTATAGTTATATTAAATATACATTTAATATTACAACGTTTTGTGTATTTTCTATCCACATATTCGACCATAATACCATGAATTATAAAAATATTAATGTTGTTCCGTATTGCTTAATTATTATGTATTAAGAGATTAATATTCATATTTAGGTCACACCATAACAGTTACATAAGCTAAAAAGAGACATGTGTCCATCAAGTTCAGCCTTCCTCACATCTATTTTTTGCTGTTGATCCAAAAGAAGGCAAAAAAAACCCTAGTTTGAAGCACTTCCAATTTTGCAACAAACTAGGGGGGGGGGGAAGTCCTACTTGACTCCAGAATGGCAGTCAGATTGATCCTTGGATCAAGGAGCTATTACCCTACTGTTGAAAAATGATATAATTGAATATTATGTATTTGCACTAGTATGCATCTAGTTGCTGTTTAAACATCTGCACGGACTCTGATAAAACCACGTCTTCAGGCAGATAATTCCATATCCTTATTGTTCTTACTGTTGAAAAAAAAAACAATTAATTTTTCCAGTGGAACCCTTTGACATAGTGTATAACATTGTGGATTTTACTCCACCCAGCCCCCCTACCTTTAGGATTGCTGGCATGGAGTCCCTGGGCTCCAGTGGGGCTGCTGAGCGGCAGGCGTGCTGAGCGTGCAGTCCCTGGGGTCCAGTGGGGTTGCTGAGCGGCTGGCGTGCTGAGTGTGCAGTCCCTGGGGTCCAGTGGGGCTGCTGAGCGGCTGGCGTGCTGAGCGTGCAGTCCCTGGGGTCCAGTGGGGCTGCTGAGCGGCTGGCGTGCTGAACGTGCAGTCCCTGGGGTCCAGTGAGGTTGCTGAGCGGCTGGCGTGCTGAGTGTGCAGTCCTTGTGGTCCAGTGGGGCTGCTGAGCGGCTGGTTTGCTGAGCATGCAGTCCCTGGGGTCCAGTGGGGCTGCTTAGCGGCTGGCGTGCTGGGCGTGCAGTCCCTGTGGTGCAGTGGGGCTGCTGAGCGGCTGGCATGCTGAGCGTGCAGTCCCTGGGGTCCAGTGTGGCTGCTGAGCAGCTGGCATGCGGGCGGAAAGGGAGCAGTGATCTCCCACCTCTTAGTGATGCCGGAGCCGGAGTGATGTCGTATTCCGGCTCCAGCATCACTGCTGTGCGCGCAAGGGAGCTGAGCAGGGAGATCGCCGCCCGTGGCCATTTTATTTTTTTTTTACTTTTGGCAGAACACCAATTAGGAAACGCCGCCTTAGACTACAATCCATCCATTTAAAAGAAGATCACAAAAGGGCAAACTACATTTATCATGGACAGAGTAGAAACAAATAGAGGTTCCTGGGAATTGGGATCCGTGGCAAGGAAGAATAAATAATACAAAAAGACAAGTGGTAATGGTGGAAGTATAATCATTAAGATACAGGGGCATAAAGAAAGTTAAACGGAAAGAAAAACAAATGACAGTGCTACTTTAATATCTCCCTTCTGGTAAATCTTCATTTTACTATTTAACCCTAAATGTTGCCATTTTGTTTTCAATTTGGTGCTTAGTGAAGACAAGATTTTGTGGAGGAAATCAAGATTAATTAAAAGTGATTTTCATATTTCAGGCTAAAACAGCCGATTTAAACACATCTGATTTGTAGAACTTTCCAGTTTGGTTATAGTGACTTAAAAACTGACTTAAAAAACTGACTTAAAAAAGATTACTTCATCTTAATAATTCACACCGTAGTTCAGGCTTCCCCAAACTCTGGCCCTTCAGATGTTGCTGGACTACAAATCCCATGATTCTATGAATGAAGTAGATAGGCTGAGAATCATGGGAGTTTGTAGTTCAGCGACATCTGGAGGGCCAGAGTTTGGGTAAGCCTGCCATAGTGTATAAATCTTGGCTTTATATTTGGTCATGCCACTGGCACTTAAAGGGTTAGATGTTCAGCTCCTAGATGTTCAGCTCTGCGTACTAGAAACGGTGAATACTAGAGTCATAAAGAGCAAGCAGTGTTTTAGTAGTTTAACCCAAACCCAGTCCCCAGCTTGAAACATCTCATGTTTTTGTGACTTTTGGCTTCAAACACCATAATAAATATAGGCTCATGTCTGATCCTTTAAACCGCCATTCTAGGTGTGTTGTTACAGTTTCTACTGGTCCTGTCATAAAATCTATCAGTAAAAAAAAGGCCTTAATGTGTATAGTCTGCAGGAGAAAAGGAAAGGTGGGGTGTGATAGAACACTTCAAGATTAAAAGACCTAGTACATTTTCACATGGAAAGAGTTATAAAAAAAAAAAGATTGCTGAGCGGCTGATTTAAAAGTATCATAGACATATCACAAACTGGGAACTGTGGAGAATTGACATTTTTAAAGGGGACTCTAGAGGAATAGTTTCATATAAACTCGGAGACTTTCTGGCACAGAGGGATCACCTCCTACTTAGTCACATGATAATGTAGAATTAAGCTTCTACAATGAAGCTTCAGCGCTTCATGTGTGAAGAATATGTCCCATAGTGTTCTTCCACTCTCAATCCCCTGTCCCATAGTGTACTTCCACCCCCTCCCCTGTCCTAGAGTGTTCTTCCACTCTCCCTCCCCTGTCACATAGTGTTCTTCCACTCTATCTCCCCTGTCCCATAGTGTAATTCCACCCCCTCCCCTGTCCTATAGTGTTCTTTCACCCCCCCCATCCCGTAGTGTTCTTTACTCCCTCTCCCCCCTCCCCTGTCCCATACTGTTCCTTACCACTCCTCCTCCCCAGTGGACATATAAAATCACTGGGAGACCCTGCATCACAACCTTTCTGGAGTCCAATGGCTTTTCAGTGACTTTTCTTTTCAGACGTCTTTGCCACTCACCACTCCTACCACTAGTAAGTCTCCATGTAAAAGAAAAAGAGAGTGCATCGTTCCTGATAGCCGTAGTAAACCTCCCTGCAAAAGGAAGATAGAGTGGATCATTCCTGATAGCTGTACTAAGTCTACATGTAAAAGAAAAAATAAATTGTTGCGATATAAAAGATAGAATTACTTTATGTTTTATTAAACGAGGAATCATCAACAAAAGTGTGGTTTGTTGTGATCATTGGTTTGAATTTACATTACAATCTGTTGTACCTTGCATGAAAACTCTTAATAAACCTTTAACCATCGTGTCTGTCTGGCCATTTACCTGGAGACGCTTTACATCTTCCCATTCAGTCAGTCTGCCTATTCCCTCTGAGTCTCCAAGGATTTGCTAATTTACTCTAAAAAACTATCCAAAGAACGCTGAGATTGTTCTGTGATATCCTTCGAGATTACCCAGAGATTTCAACATTCTCCCCTTGCACCTACATATCTCCATAATCTGCAATTTCACCTCTCAAAGCCTAAACACCTTTCCAATGCTCCTAGAGCCATGTAAATCAGTCCGTTGAACTGTAATATCTAGCTTCAAGTTAACCCAAACAACAAACATAGATATGGGTTAATATTTATAGGTTGAGTATTTGCAGGGTGTGAGGGGCTGTGAGGGGCGTAGCTAAGCAGTGCACCGAGGCAGACGCTATTCCTCAATGCTCTAGTTTACCTCTATTATTGAAGGCATTCGACATATCGGAGTGAAAACTTCACTACCTTCAGGACACTGCACTGAAGCTGTGGATGCCCTTCATTCAGCCAGCTGCCTCCAAAACTTGGTGCCGAGGACTTTGCGTTTACCGCAAAGTCCTCGGCACCATGGCTCCGGGTGTCCCCTGGTCTCCAAGTATCTGTGACACCATGTCTCTCTGTCCCCATGTCTCTCAGTGTCCCCATGTCTCCCAGTGTCCCCATGACTCCCAGCCAGTGTCTCAGTGTCCCCATGTCTCCCAGTGTCCCTATGTCTCCCAGCCAGTGTCCCTAGAGTCTCAGTGTCCCCATGTCTCCCAGTGTCTGTGTCCCCATGTCTTTGTGTTCTTAGTGTCCCCATGTCTCCCAGTGTCCCCATGTCTATGTCCACAAGTGCCCCATGTCTCCCA